AATTCGATATGTCAAGGGTACAAGTGGTTTTGGTATTAAATTTACAAGAAGTAAGAATTTCAAGTTGATCGGTTTCTCTGACAGTGACTGGGGAGATTCCATTGATGATATGAAGAGTACTTCTGGCTATTGTTTTACTCTTGGATCAAGTATTTTCTCATGGAATTCGAAGAAGCAAGAAACTGTAGCTCAATCTACTGCTGAAGCAGAATTTGTTGCCGCAACAACTGCTGTAAATCAAGCATTATGGTTGAGAAAGATTTTAATTGATCTTAATATGGAGCAGAATGAAAGTACTGAGATTTTTGTTGACAATCAAGCTGCCATTATCATTTTTCATAATCCTGTGTTTCATGGAAAAACTAAGCATTTCAATATCAAGTTGTTTTTTCTAAGAGAAGTTCAGAAAGAAAAATATGTGACTCTGACATATTGCAAATCTGAAGATCAGTTGACAGATTTGTTCACAAAGCCACTTCCAATTAGCAGGTTTGAATTTCTAAGGCAAAAAATTGGTGTTTGCAGCTCCTAAGGCAAGGGGGAGTGTTGAAATATTTGCTTCGGGCTGCCTAAAATTAAGGAATTAGTTTTATTTTCTTTAAATCTTGTTTTAAAGCTTTGATTTCTTTTAGCTATTTTTATGGACGTTGATTAGGGAGCATTAATTACTTTCCTTTTTCTCTGCTTTGTATTGGGCGGCAATTTAAAATATATGTGCTGCCGTTTTTTTTTTAATTAAGAACAATCAAGCTTCTTCATATTTCTTTCTCCTCTTTCTCTTGTTCAAGAAACCTTCAAGCTCTCTACATAATGGAGGATTGGTAAATTGTAGGCAGTGTTTATTATCAAATTTTATTAGCAATATTTACAAACATTAAATATATTTACAAAAATAATTACCTAGAAGAGACTTCATGGCTATAGAGTTGCAGAGTAGACACAACACCAGGTGGGACTAATCGTGGGTTGACGTTAGATCTTGCAGAGCTTATTTAATCAAAATATTTTTTGTCGAATTATAATACATTTGCAAATGTAATTTATTTTAACTACATTATATTTTTTTTTATAGAATGAGTATATGAGGTTGAAGCATGTGGAAAACCAAAGTTCAACGAGTTTTGGAAGATTGAGTGACCCAAATATGATGTAAATGCCACTTTATATTTCATGAGTAGTTATTATGTTTTCTGTAAGTTTAGAATGATCAACAGATAAAATTTTGTCACCTTGATACAAAAAAGTTGTTGATGGTCTTGATTTGCTAACCTGGGAGCTACTAGTCTGGTAGATGACATGTCCTAACTTTCTGGGACAAGCAGCCTTGCACAAGTCTTAATTAAAATAATTTTTGGAGGCCGTCAGCTGTTTGGTTTGGTTTGGAGGAAGCTTGACAATATCACGCTCAAAATCAGCTTAAAATTTATTTCTTTAATTTTAAGTTGTGTCAAATCTTGACCATTGGCTGGCTCGACCTGAACTCAATTCAATCTGCATTTGTTGTTCTATTTTCCAAAGTAAGAAAATCAATTTAATTTAGATACGATATTTCATATGATATGATCTCAATCCATGCAAAAATGGAGTTACAAAACCCCATTGGAGATACGAAATTATAACAAGTTATAATTTGTTAGTCAAACTTACAGCAATATGCAGACTGTTTGGCAAGCTGTTTATATGGTACTAACTTTCTTTTCCAAAGTAACAACTTAATGCAATAAATAAATAATAATAATAAACAATATTTTATCGAGCTAACAGTGAAATAATATAATAAAAAAAAGGTTGCAATGCTGGCAATCATTAACCCTGTAAGAAGCTTGCTTCATGCAGGTTGGCATCGAGCCAAGTAAGATTTGATAATTGTGTTTACATTTTGAGTCAAGTTTAAGCTCAACTCAAAATGATTTTGATTTATCACAAAATAATACACATGAGATGAGATTACCTCCATTCAATAGACAAATAAATGTAACTTTAAATTTCGATTAATGTTGCCAACCTTATTTTATTAATTTTATTTAATGGCCGTTGGGCGACAAAATAGAAACTAACTCCAGCGAATTAAAAAATAAAAACAAAAATAATAATAAATAAAAACACTCCAGTGAGTTTTAAAGAAGAGGCTAAAAGAGTGAAAATTACATAAATTTGCAACGCTCATATAATTTACAGGAAAAAAACAAATATCCAATAAATGATGTCAAGCAATCAGCAGCAAGAGAGCGCTCTGTATGCAGAGCAGATGTCCAAAGTACTTTGTTTCACTTGATGCTTTTGTACAGGTCATCAATTACACTCTGAAAACAAGATAGTGAATAAGAAATCAAGTTTTAAGAGGCAAAATGATTGTTCACATAAAATAGAAAAGTCAAGCAAGAAAACTCGCCTGGTAGTATTTTAGAAGTTGAGGTCTCTTTTTCTTGTAAGTTGGGGTTAATAAATCGCGCTCCATGTCAAAGGGAACTGCTTCAAGGTGAACTGCTTTTACAAACTCGAAACCTTTCAACTGTCGGAGCAGCGCAACAATGAGTTTTGAAAAATTTTAATGATTTTAAAGACTACAAATATATTAATTTTTTACAAGGCTAACCTTCTTTGCTTTGGCGATCTTGCTTAGTTCCCCAAGTATGAACTCTTTTGCTTTGGGATTCTGACAGAGTGCGCTAAAATCTGCACTGATCCCATTTTCTTGAGCCCAACGTTCCAAAGCTGCTTTGTTGGGATTTAGTATTGCAACAAGATAAGCCTCGAAGCTGTTACCATATATCCATATCTGGAATATAGTCATGCAGAGCATACATGTATCAGATCAAATAGATTAAGAAGACCATAAACAGCCATGGGTTCGTCTCGAAAAATAATGCATCTAGAATATACAAACAGACATGCATCTCTCTCTCTCTCTCTCTCTCTCTATATATATATATATATATATTACATCAGATTTAACTCTTTCAGTAACATTTCTATCTGCAACAGGTCTTTCAGCATTAAAGCCAGTTTATCGTTTAGATAATGATCATGCTAAAATCAAGTCGGGCTATTTGAAATTAAATCTAAATGGCCTACTTGGAAGAAGGAAAAGATCTATTGTACAGATAGTTTTCCTTCTAAATAAAGTCAGAGACCTGTCGCTCAACTGTCAAAATTATAGAAATACGAAATCAATATGTTGATGGTAGTAAATATCCAATAGGGGGGTTCACTTTTTGAAGAGAACACGCCAGCAAAGCGGTTTAATGGTTTGCGGCAAATAATTATTATATCAAATAGATAATCAAATTTATGAAGTTTATAAAAATATCAATAATAATAACAACAGTTTGTCCTAAATAAAATAAAAAAAAATTAATTCTTGAAAAGTTTTTGAGGTAGAATGGTCAAGGGTATAGAGTTTCTAATGCAACCTGCTGTGAAAAACGACGGCAATAAAGCAAAAATCGGATCGAAAAAAATTTGCGAAACAGAAAAGCACAGCGAAATACACAGATTTACGTGGTTCGGCAAATTGTTTACTTCCACGGAGCTGCAGAGGATTTTATTAACTTTGAGGAATTACACCTTCAAACGTATCGATGTTTACAAGAAACACTCTCTTTCCTTTCTCTCTCTCTCTTCTCTCTCTACCTCTCCACACTAACCGTTGAAGAAACCAAACAAATTTGCCGAAAGGAAAGAGTGTTTCTTGTAAAAAAATTGAAGAAAAATTTTTTCACTTAGGAAAAAAATTGAAGAAACCAAAGGAGAAACGAAATTTCCTAAGTGTTTTCACTTTGGTTTCTTCAACGTGAGTGCTCTCTCTTCTCTCTCTTCTCTCTCTTCTCTCTCTTCTCTCTCTCTCTCTCTTCTCTCTCTACCTCAATTCAAACGTATCGATGTTCTCTACACTCTCTTTCTTGAAAAAAATTGAAGAGAGCACCCATGTTGAAGAAACCAAAGGAGAAACGAAAAAACAAAACAAGCTCTTTTAGCTTGGTGGTGGTCCCCGCTCCTTTATTCTTCTGCCAGAGGAGAGATGACTTTGGATGGGTTCTGGAGAGCAAGTGATTTGCTTTTATAAGTAGCAGGTAATGACCTAATTAAGAAAATAACACCAGATTAAGAAATTCCCAAACGTGTTTCCGCGTGAAATAAAAAAAAAAGCAAATTTATTTTTGGCAGAGCCGCGTAAACAGGGAGGCGGGACCGCGTGAAGCGTTCCAGGCTTCATTTAACAATTCTCTCACTTGGAGACTGAGACACTGACTTCATTTAACAATTTTCCCACTTGGAGTTCAGGTTTGAATCTGAGGGAAAGCGATGGCTAGAGATGATGCGATGACATCGACGATCGAGCAGTTTAATGATACAGATTTTTGTTACTAGATGATACAGATAGAGAACTACCTCTATGAGAAGAAATTTCATCTTCTGTTACTGGAAAAATGATAAAAAAAGATGAATTCCCTGTCAGCAATATTGTAAGATGAAAGTTTGCAGACTTGGGAGCTGACAGAACTTCCACTAGAGAATAAAACATTACATGGCAAGCGGATTGCACAACAAGTGTGTGTATCGGGTGAAGACTATGTTTGATGGCGGTAAGAGGTACAAAGCTAAACTTGTTGAAAAAGACTTTCAGCAGAGGCAGAATATTACCCATGCAGTGAGAGTTGTAAGCAAAAACATGAGTAACCAAGAAAGAGCTGTATAAAACTATGTTGAAGATGATATGTCGACTAAGGGTGTTACTTCTGAGAAACTGAAGTTGTGCTCGACTTCAGTTGGTCTTCTAGCATAAAGACCGAGGCTTTGAGTTGCAGAGGTGGAGGATATCACGTTTGAAGAAAATGGCGACACAGCTAGTGGATGATGCCGCTAGTGTACCAGTTTTCAAGTGGGAGATTTGTTGTGAAGATGGAAACCGGTCCAATGCTTAAATTGACATTTTCTCATGTTTGACAATAATTTAGATTTGATACTCGAAATTAATTGCTCTTAATTTCTTCTATGATTTGCTGCAGGAGAAAAAAATAAAATAATTAATAGGCTTCATTAATTATTTGATTAATTCCTTAATGGGTCTAATGATATGATGAAATTAATAAATAGACATGTTAGCTCCCCTTGTAATCTCGCTCTCGGGATTTGATTTCCCTTCGACGTTTCTTCTTCTTGACTGTGGCTCTCGCGTAGAGAGAGAGAAGGAGAGGAGAGAGAAAAGAGAGAGATTGTTCTTTCTTGTAATCGTCGAGGCGATCAACGGGTGTAATCCTCGAGTAACAAAATCCTTTGCAGCTTTGTGGACGTAGGCAATTTGTCGAACAACGTAAATCTGTATGTTTCCACTGTATTTTTCTGTTTTGCATTTTTTCTCGATCCGATTTTTTGCTTTATTGCTGTTGTTTTTTACTACACAACCTACCATAACAAACTAAATCAAAACACATACAAAAATATAATTTCCCAAATTTTGCCACAACTATTTGACAACAACACAATACATTCCAAGAAATAATTTAAAATTTTCTGAATATAAAAAATAAAAATAAAATAAAGCTAAGTAAGAAAGTTTAGGGCTTATTCGAGATCAATTTTGTTTTTTGTTTTTTCACCAGTTTTAAAAAATATCTTTGTTTAGTGTATTATATATAAATATATATATATATAGACGGTGGATTTTGACCCTCGTACTGAACCTCCTATCATTCTTGTTTGGCTGCGCTTTCCAGGTTTGAAGATCCACATTTTTTATCAAGAGCTTCTCTTCGCTTTAGCGATGGTGTACGGTAAACCTCTCAAAACTGACACGCCTACAGTGAATCTAACTCGGCCTTCAAAAGCCAGAATTTTGATAGAAAGGGATATTACTTTACCTTTTCCGGGAGAAATATGGATTGACACACAACATCATGGATTTTGGCAGCAAGCAGAACTTGAACATATATCACTTTATTATACCCACTGTAATATTTTTGGACATTCTTTTTCTCAATATTATCAGTTGTATCCAAATTTAAAACCTTAAAAAAAAAACGCGTCTGGATCTGTCCCACCTCATACATGTCCCTCTTCCGCTCCTGAGTGCATTCCACATACTATTGAAATACCGGTTGACACAATGCACATGCCACCTCCCCCTCCCACTACCGGAGACAATACTATCTCTGTTCTTCCGACTGATATATTGGCAGATGATTTACTTGGGCCCGATAATCAGGATAATATTGAAGCTCCATATCCCCAGTCAGATGAAGAATGACAGGTTTACACATCTAGAAAGAAAAAAAAGAATGAAAGCACACTATTAAAGAAGACTCACTTACATGCCAAGACACACAAAAGTGCTCCTTTGATCCAATAGCATACTTTAGTAACTTGTTAGCTGTCTTCGCTCCTAGAACCAGAGGCAGAGGCAAAACAAAACTGACTCGTGCCTAACAGCTTATTTCTTGCAAGTTTTGTTTTTATTTATTTTTTTGTTTTATCTATGTTTCATCCTTTTAGGATGCTAGTGATAAGGGTTTGAGCAAGATTTAAAAATTATTATTTATATTAAAACATCATTTGAATCTAATTTAATAATTTTTATTATATTTTCTTAATCAGTATTTTAATTGGTTATAAATCTTTGTAGCCTTGTAGTCAATTATATTTTTTTTAAAATACTACTTAATATATATATATATATATATATATACACTTGTTTTTAAAAATACTCAAAATAATATTTAGGTGTTTTGAGTGTTTCTAAAAATAATCATATCTTAATCAAATATGTCAAACATGTTTTATTTCTTCAAATCATAAACAAAATAAAATATAAAAAAATAGAAATTAAAAAACAAAAGTGATCCAAACAACCCCTTAAGAACTAACTTCACACTTTAAAAAAAACAAACTTAACCTGTTTCATTTTTGTTCTTTTATAGGGGTGTGCATGCCTTTGCAATAAGTACAATGCAAAGGCAACCCAGGAGGACCTCACAGCAAACTACCGTTATGCACCCTCCCACACACACAAAAAATTAATATCGTAGTGGGTTTATGGTCCACATATCATATATTAAATTGATAAGAGTAAATACTACGCTTGATCTTAGACAAAAGGCAAAGAAAGGTTTTAACACATATCTCACTTAGAAAAAAGTTCAATCACTACACAAAACCAGCAACTAAGGGCTTGTGTTGGGTTTACTTTTGTTTTTTATTTTTGTTTTTGATTCTATTAAAAAAAGTTTGTTTAGGGCCTTCCTTTTTTGTTTTAAGAAATAAATTAGTTTATTTAAAAAAATACTCAAAATAACTAAATGTTATTTTGAGTATTTTTAAAAATAATTAAACAAGTTATAATATACCAAACATGTTTTATTTCAAGTAAAAATAAAAATAAAATAAAATAAAATATAAGGTGGTGATCCCAAACGGCCCCTAATTAATTAAAAAGAAAAAATAAGGAGAGAAATCATCCTTAAGAGAAAAAACCAAAAGTCACGCAAATACAAGGAGTATCCCTTGGAAGTAGTATCCACCTATAAAGTACTTGAAGAACTCCAATTTAATACACACAATAAAGAACAACTAGATTTGTACGTCAATATTCATTGTTCAATTATTTTTCCATGCTTCAGGGATCTTATGTATAACTTCCAAAAGATTTAAAATATGAAACTACATAAATATATAAAAATCTATCCAAACCATCAAGATTTCAATAAATTCAAGATGCAATATAATAATAAAAACCTTTTTTTCCTGTAAAATTTTCTTCAAAAATTGCATTAAAAATTCATCAAAATACTTATTCTTCCTAAGAGTTAAGTGTAATAAACAGAACTTTCAACCAACAAAATATTGCCCACTTTGACTTAGCAGGCCTCATGGCTTTCCTCTTATTGTATTACTACCTAGGAGTTCATATATCCTAGGAGTGCTCACATATAAGATGTTTAACTTTGATATTTCTGAGTTTCTTTTTTTTCACACACACATAAACACACGCAACCTGCATATGAAAGGCTTGGAACCCATGACCTCTTGGTTGAAAGACAAAACTCTCAACCACTAGGCAAAAGTGGTCTAAAATTTTATTGTTTTTGATGAAATACCAATAATACTGAGAGTTCTACTTCATAGTATTTAAAAGATCTTACATTGGTAAGGCTCCAATGTACCCATGTCGGTCAACTTTTTTTTCGATTAGATTTAATTT